CTGTCGCTGTATGTGCAGAGTCCGTATATCATGAGTCCCCAGTTGCCATTAGGGGCACTGGGGTAGCCCGTATGTGGATTATAAAAGGGAGAGGGGGACGACGTATCTGCTTCCACTGTCTTCTTATTCGAGGCTGTATGTCCCGTTGAAGGCTGAGAGTCCTAACTAGGTGACTGCTCTTTTTCGAGGAGGAGTGGACAATTGTAAGTATGGTGTATACTCTCTGCACTGCCATCATCCGTTTATATTTCGTTTCATCTTAGATAACCTTACCGTACTGACAACCACCACCGTTAGTTCTTATCGTTGCTAGTAGGCCTTGCGTCTCGCCGTTCGGAATATAACGCGGTCCTGTCAATACGTGTGATTGTCAGTGTTTCTGTCGAGACTAAACGACAGCCTTTCAACAATGTCATTTATGTGCTATACTACATTTTACCCAGATTTTACCTACCTCTTTTGGGGCCGCAGCTATCTGTAACGTTCTATGGACGCGTTTATTTTGCATTTTTCGGTTTTGGGTACTATAGCAATGCTACGTACTTCGTGTAATAATAGGGTTTTGTCGTTTGTAGTCATCTAACATGCCTTTCTTCCAACGGCCAGCGAAGCACTCCAGGACCTGCACAAACGCCACCAAAAAAAGCGTTGTCGTAGACGGAGGTAGAAGACCTAGTCCCAGACAACAATGCATAGTTACCTGGTCTCGTCGATTCCGAAAGCGCAAACATACCCGGTCCCTTCAAATCCGGCCTTCCAGCGCAACCTTTGCTCTTCCTATATCTCAAGTCGGCTTCGAGAGTATCGAAATGTCCCAGAAAGCGCTCATGATGCCGGATGGCCTTACGGCTGTCAAGACCTCTCGATTTTCACTCTCGGTTTGTCAGAGGCTAGACCAACGGAATTATCGTAGGTGGATATCGTAGGTGGAAGGAAGGGTGTCTTGTAGGGTGTTGAAGTCCTTCGTTTTCGCGATGGCATCGAGACTGTCGAGTTCCAGCACGGCCGAATCGACGAGGCGGCCAGCTTGCGATAGATACATAGAATAAGTTGACGTTGAAATGTTGAAATGTTGACGCGTTGATGCTCCGGGCAGGGAGAACAGCGGTGGGGGAAACTCGCCGTCATCACGATTCCGCTATTCCTTTCTTCTTCTTGCCGTGTGCCAAGGGAACAGATTCAAGAACACGATCGTGATATCATGGGAGGAAATAGTAGTCAGGAATGCAGGTGCGAAATCAGCCAGAACAGCTACGGAACAGGTCTGGACAGCGACGGGTTCTATGCCGGCGGAAGGTTGGGGTGCAGTGCCTGCAGAGACGCAGGTTGTTTCACGCGTTGTCAATATCTCCATGAGAGCATCAAGATTGTGGAAAGAGAAACCGACGATAATCGATAATCTCTTGATTTTTTTGCTGTATTCATCCAACGATTTGCTCAGCGTCTTGAACTCGCCGTCAATTATGCATTTATGATGCACCGGAACCTCTTTGAACGTTAACCTGCTTTCTTTAAGCATTGGGTCATGTATTACCGAAGGATTACTGAGATTACGCACTTAGTAGGGTTTTGCCCTTCCAAATCTCTACCGCTTTTCTTCCATCTCGTACTCATTGCCGAACCTTGGAGGCCGGAAGCGTCGGAACAACAGTAAGAGACAAAAGTCGATGGTTTGCAACGTGCAGACCTCGAGGCTAGTAAAGATGTGGTGGACAAAGAGTTACTGCTACGCCAGATTTTCCTGCACAGCCTCATGAGATCAAGCGCTCAACATAGCGCTGAAGGGTACACGTCTTCGTTTCTTAGTACTGATGGGTTTCCACTGACCGCATGTAACGAGGATTCGCCAACAACCCGTACTTCATTATTCAATTACCCGGCCGACGATATTTCTGAACCTCTCACCAGACTTTGCCTCTCCATCCTCCGAGTCAAGCTCTGTCATTTCATCCAGGTAAACCGGTGTTTGATCAATTTTAAGAATTTACGAACTTTCATGATACTCATCTACCCAGTTCTCCGCTCTCAGCACTAACCAATCGAATGGGTTCTTATTGTTAAGGGTCCGAGTAATCGCTCTACGATATTAACCAGCGTTCACCTTCTCAGTGGTGCTCAGCTCATAAAGAAGGAATTCGCACTTTGTGGTTTTTCCTGGTTTCTGGTAGAAGCTAGTGGATTTATCAAGGGGACTTGAAACACCCGTGAGCTTTTTCCAAGTAAACCCTAGTAAACCCAACATAACCTAACCAAACTAAGTATTCCTGATGATAGCGGGATCCAGGACCGGGACCTGAGCGGACGATGATCATACATGATAAAACCTCAGCGTTTCAAGTGTCGACGGCTAAGGCACACCCGAGTTGCTTCCTGGTAATAGTAGTACTCGCATCTGGATATAGTATTGCTCGCTTCACTATTCTACTATATACAGATGATGGTAGAGCTGGTGAATGCTCAGCATATGCCGTGGAAGCCCATCGACTTTTCAACCTTTTAACCTTCAGGGTGCCCGACCAGCCTGCTATCATCAGGATCAAGAGCGCTGAGCAGCGCTGGGCCCAAGCAATTTCGGCGGGAGGCAGGGATCAAGAATCTATCAACAATTCAGCAATTCAATAACCACTGCATCTCATGGATCAAGGATGTAACTATGTATGTACTCAGTCTAAACGAGTCTAGAAGGTTTTTCTTGTTTCTCTTGCTTTCTCGCTTTCTACCTTCATCCATGCACCATGTCCCTAGGGACTACACCTCCCACTCGTCGCTCATTTCTGTCACTCTTTTTCGCGTTTGCTTGGTTCAGTTTCTTCACCTTTACTATTAGGCCAGTCAAAGCTCAGACTACAATTGACGATGCCCAGTCGGCTTTCTCATTTGCGTCAGCCTGGAATGTAATTACACCTTCGGACCCCTGTAGCGGATGTGCTTTCAAGCCAGACGCCTCGCAAATTCTCGATGGCACTTGGCACGAGGGGTCAGTAGCGGGCAGCACAGGGTCGCTCACCTTCGATGGTGCGAGAACTGTTTGTTTTGTGCGTGTGGGCCAAAAAAATTGATAAACATCATACAGGAACCGGTGTCTCCCTCTTTGGCGTAGTGAACGGCGCCGAGACCTGCGCTATGACGTTCGTTCTGGATGGAGTAACCTCCAGCCTCGACCTCTCTGCGATTCCTCCATCCGTTAAAACATACAACTACCAATACTTCGCCCAAAACGGTCTTTCCACCGGCGCACACACTCTTTCGTGGACAATCGGAGCTAGCGTTGATAATGCTATTGCTTTGATAGATTACGCGGTTGTAACCTCTGCTGCTGCGGTGGCGGCACCGGTCGGGACTACTAACCCCGGCAGCTCTCCTACTCCCTCAAGTCCTGCGGGGGCACAGACCACAACTGTTACCAGCCAAGCATCCGCTTCGTAAGCTTATCCCCTGCATCATCAATTGCCCTTTATCCTGGAGCTATTATTTGTTTTCTGCAGATCTTCCTCCAACACACAACTATCATCGTCCTCCCCCATTCCAGGATCAGGATCCCCGACCTCTTCTTCCCAGCCTAATTCCTCAAGCCCAAACTCAACCAGTTTGGCCACTATCACTTCCGGCTCTCCAACCACTGGATCACCCGCCTCCGAGTCCGCCGTTGTCATCACAGTCGGAACGTCACTCGTTACATCCATGGTTATTTCCTCTGCTACGAGCACCCCAGCCGCGGACGTATCACTTGCTCCCCAAAAGCCTAAAACTGCTCTCATTGTCGGTGCCGTGCTTGGGAGTGTCCTAGGCCTCGTATTGGCCTTCGCCTTACTGTTCCTCATTTTACGAAGAAGACGTCGTCGATCAAAGACGCCAAAATCTACTCCCTTCTATTATAACCGCCGTAAGTTTCCTTCGTTTATAGGGAATGAAGAGTCATCTCTCATCTCTCGTCTCTCATCTTGAACCGTAGAATTGGACGAGGTTATATTAAGAGAAGACGGGTTGTTACAAAAAGTGTACCCGCCAGAAAAGGTAGCACCTATTTCAAGTTCGAGGGCTCCAAGCAGGATAAATACTACCAGGCCTCCGAGTCCCGAAACCGTGACTTCTTCGCCCCCACGGTAGATAATGGTGAATTCTCCCGTATTCCTTACTATGATGCATCTACGACTTCAGTTACTCATAAATTATTTTTTATAGGGACCACGATGGTGACGGGTGCAAGCCCCGAGAACTCAAGCGTGGAACCATCTACTACTATTGGGCCTATTCAACACATGGAACAAAGGATTCTTCTCCTTGAGCGTATTTTCCAGCAGACGAACCAGGGGGACATCATGCTCCCGGATGATACATCTCCTCCTCCTTATTGAATTATTGAATTATTAGTGCCATTTTATAAACTTGGGGTTTCTCATAATAGTTCTCACTTACTAGGTTCTCTATTGTAAATAATGTATCTGGTTATACAAGATGTGACGATGTCTACAACATTTTCTTCTGGGTTGATAAGTAATTTCACAAGTAATTTCATTAACTTACTTGCACGGAATATATCTCAGCAAGTTGTAAAGACAGAAAGGTCAAAGAATGAAATCTTATGAACTGATCGCATGGAACAGGACCCTTCGGTCAGAGTCGCGGAATGCTACGTACTAAGTGTAATAACAGGGCTTAGCTGGTTATGGTGCGCGGATATAAATGTTACTGCTAGAAGGTAGACCCCAACCGAAGTCAACCCACCAATCGGTGTAGAAATGGGACATGCAGAGCTTGCATACTAATATATGGATCCAAAAAAGGAAAGATTACTTACTTGAACCGTGAATACACAGTGAGGCAGAGAAGGCGTTATCAAAAAAAAACCTGGAAGAAAGCTGAACATGCATACAATAACTTGGATACTTACTGATACAATACTAATACAAAGAGATTCAGAACTGCCATACAGTCGATCACTGGTTTCGGTAGACGAAAGATCCTTAAAATGAGAAAAGAAATCGAACAGAGGGCATATATGCCTTCTAGCCGGATCGAACGACTGGCCTTTGCATTGTATTTACCTATTGATGGGTAGAAGGCCACATATACGAGTGCAACGCTCTACCACTGAGCTAAGAAGGCGTCGGGTGTTGGGTTGTGGGGTAGACAACAACGGGTGGATATGATATGCAAATACAAGGATATACAAGGATTAAGTCGGGACCCGTGTAGCATAGGTCAGCGCGCGCAACGTGTAGCCACGTAGTCACTGCTAAAACTGCTAAAAGCCCACTCAACCCTCACCGGTTTAAGTAAACAGAGCTTGAAAACAAAAAGATTACAATTTCTCCCCAGCATTGACATTGCCTCCTAGTCGAATTGAACGACTGCGCCTTTGCATTGTAAATGATGTCAACTTACAAGACTCCTATACAAGTGCAACGCTCTACCACTGAGCTAAGGAGGCTTTATGTGTTTGGAAGGAAGCAGGGGACGATCAAGGGGATGAAACGTGGATACAAAGGAATGGGAACCGTAAGTACTAACAAGAACCGTCAGTGGTTGGGTTCTTGAAACCGACCGCCGTGACCGGGACCCGCCAGATCTGTCTCAAGAGTTCAAAGAGGGAGGATGAACAGAGTGACAATAGATCCAAACTGGAAAAAAACTACCCATTAGTTGGTGGAACCATCCATTCTCCATTCCTCCTAGCCAGATTGAATGGCTGGCCTTAAGTTAGCGTTGATCAGGTCGGGAGCCGTGTAGCGACTGCTACATAAAGTTGCTAAAACCCAACTCAACCCCCACCAGGTTGCCACCAGGTATATACTACCAGCAATCGGTTTTCGAGAGAAGCAAGATCCAAAAGAGAAAAAAAATCCACTCCTCAATTCATACGTGGCAACATAGCGGGCCAGTACATGCCTCCTAGCAGGATTGAACCGCTGGCCTTTGCATTGTAGAAGATATTATTCTCAAACGTCCAACACGCATCTATATAAGTGCAATGCAAGTGCAATGCTCTACCACTGAGCTAAGGAGGCGTTATGCGGCAGGGAACGGGTGATAATATAGAGTATAGATACGTGGATATATATACAGATACAAAGGATTGAGAAGCTGAGCACTAAAATCAGAAACCTAACCGTTGACTTACCTATTGGTTTTCAAAAAAAGAGAGATCTCACTGAGAAAAAAACTCAACATATAAACTCACCCACGCCTCCTAGCCGGATCGAACGGCTGGCTTTTGCATTGTATAAGGAGATATCATGCTTACTTCTGTAGCATACAAGTGCAATGCTCTACCACTGAGCTAAGGACGCTTTATGCGGTTTTGAAGAAAGCAGGGGATGATACGTGGATACAAAGGATACAAAGAAATGTGAACCGTAGAAAGTGCTAGCTAGAACCCAACCACCAACCACTGATCGCCGTGAGCGGGATCCGTCGGATCTGTCTCTAGAGTTCAAAGAGGGTGGATGAACAGAGATCCAAACTGTAAAAATTACCCATTATTGATGCAGGAAGCATCCATGCCTCCTAGTGTTGGAGCATACGGCGTATCATCGGGCAAAGCGCCTCATCCGTCGGTATATTATTTATCCAAAGATTTCTGTTCTACTTTACAGGCTGTTTGTATATCCGCACAGCGTGCGGAGGTATATTCGTTTACTTATATACTTTGTTATTTCGTAGCGACTCCCTCAGAGTGTTTCCTTATCTCTGAGGTGAGTTTACTTAGTTTACTTATACTTTCTTATACTAACAATGTCCATAGCTTAAGCTTACTTGTACTTCGTTAGGTATATCAATTCACTACAGAGTGTTTCCTTATCTCTGAGCTTAAGCTTACTTGTACTTCGTTAGCTCTTACAGGTTATGGGCCCCGAATTGCTCAAAAATTATGTCTTCATCCGCTACTACAGTCAACGCGCTCACGGATACTCTTCCAAGTAACATCCCCATGCTCAGTGCTTCTGGATCCAACTGGGCGATCTGGAAACTTCGCTTCGAGGCCGCTGTTCAAGGGAAGGACAAATGGGGTCACTTCGACGGTGCCGATGTCAAGCCTGTCTTGACTGGTCCTACCGCCTCAGCCGCCGAAGATCTTCATACCTGGTCGAAGGACAAAGCGACCGCCCGCAACCTCTTGATCTCGAAGGTCTGTGATTCTGTTGCGCTGAAGATAGCACGCTTCAGTACTGTTGCTGAAGCATGGGCTGCCGTTGTTTCCGAGTTCACGGAAAAATCTGGCTATGCCAAAGTTGACCTTCGACGCGGGTTCATGGACTCTACGTGCCCTGCAAAGGGTAACATTTGTCAATTTCTTGAAGACCTGAATACGAAGAAAGAAAAACTTGCTGCCGTTGGTGTTGCCATCGACGATTCTGACCACCGTTCTACTATCCTTTGGGGTATCCCTCACTACTATTCTACCTTCGCTTCCTCTATTATCACATCCACTCGCATTATTGACAAGACAAAAGTTGTTTCACCGACAGCCCTTGCTCAGGCCGTTGCTGAAGAATATGATCACCAGAAAAGTCGCCAGAATGCACAGGGAGGAAAGCAAAAAGAGAAGAACGAGGACGACGAGGCGCTCGCTGTGAGCTCATCAGCATCACCTCAAAAGTTTGGTCAGAAGTCGAAATGTACCTGCTGGAAGTGCAGAAAGGAAGGACACTTGAAACGAGACTGCAAAGTCAAGGTTTCTGGATCCGGTCAAGGATCCAAAGGTAACGTGGGGGCGGTTGAGTCTGATTCTGACTGGGAAGCAGGTGGTGCCTTCGCGGTTGATGACGACGAGGATCCTTGGAGTGACTCTGAGGATGGCAATAGTCCTTTGTTATTCTCAGATACGGACGATATTGGAGTACCGGACTTACCTGATGGCCTCAAGGAAGACTGGAGTGACATTCAGTCAGTCCATTCTGATTCTTCCTCCCTGCTTGCAGCTCCCGTTATGAACAATGGAGGCACCCCCTCCTGTGCTCGTTCTGAGCTGTATGACTCCGGTTGTAGTCGCCATATTAGTCCCTATCACAATGACTTCAAAAACTTCGAGGAGATCCCCCCAAAATCCTTCCGTGCTGCAAACAAGGAAACATTCAAAGCGATGGGCACTGGCTCCATCACCGTTGATATTCCTGTTGGAGTAGATGTCAACAAACTCAAACTCACCGAGGTCATGTATTCACCTGAAGTGGGTTACACCCTAGTCTCCATCGGAAAGCTCGATGACCATGGATTTACGGCGACGTTTGCTGATGGTAAGTGTACCATCCATGCGCCTGGTGGTGAGCTGGTCGGAGAGGTCCTTAAGGACCAGGGAGGTGCCTATCGAGTCGACCAAGAGAAGGCCACGGTGGGGGAAGCTGCAGCGCTGGAGACGGTCACGTTAGACCAACTCCATAGGCACATGGGACACATCTCGCCCCGGGTTGCTCATCATATGGTGGCAAAAGGTTTTGCCACAGGAGTTCGACTTGAGAACGACGGGCCGCAGGATATTTTTTGTGAATCCTGTGTTTACGCCAAGGCTACACGAAAGCCTGTACCGAAAGAGAGGCAGGAAGGATCCAGGGCCAAGGTCTTTGGCGAGGAAGTCCACTCAGACTTGTGGGGTCCGGCACCGGTTCAGTCTCTGCGTGGGAAGCGTTACTATGTTTCATTCATCGACAATGCGAAACATTGGGCTTACCTCGATTTTCTTCACACCAAAGATGAAACGTTCCGTTCCTACCAAGAGTATGAAGCATGGGCGAAGGCCGAGCACAATGTCACCATCAAGGTTCTTCACTCTGACAATGGCAGCGAGTACACTGGAAAAGAGTTTGTTCTTTATTTAAAGACGAATGGCACAAAACAGAAACTCACCGTACACGATACTCCTCAGCACAACGGCGTTGCTGAACGCTACAATCGCACCGTCATTGAAAAGGTCCGTGCAATGCTCCATTCCAGTGGATTGCCGAAGGCGTTATGGGCGGAAGCTGTCTGCCATGCAGTGTGGGTGCTCAATTGCACGTCAACGAAAGCACTAGATGGGATGACTCCATTGGAGGCATCAACTGGGAAGAAGCCCGACTTGCGTGGTCTGCGTGAGTGGGGCGAGAAGGTGTGGGTCCGGGTTGAGAAAGGCAACAAGCTCAGTGGGCGAGTTAGGGAAGGACATTGGTTGGGCGTAAGCGAGAAGCGAAAGGGATTCCGGATTTATTGGCCAGATACATGCTCAGTTACCTTTGAGCGTAATGTCTACAGTGACAAGACGTCAGCTGGAATTGGTCGCGTTGAGGGGGAGGATTGGGATGTCAACTTACCGATTCCCAATGAGCAACCTCCAACTCAAAGCGGAAATACAAAACCTTCTCCCGCCATGGAACCTACTCCCGAGCTAAAATCAGAAGATTCACCACCACCTACCCGCCGTATCCATATGCCCAGCCAGCGAGTTCGAGACATTCTCGAAGGCTGTACTCACCTACCTCCGGGTGTTCAGACACCAACTACTTCCACACCGGTCAAAGAGCTGGAGGGGGAGGGTGAAGCGGGTCTGGTTGACCTACTCGAGGACGAGGATTTTCTCCTTGAGTACGCCATGGTGGCCGAGACCAGTGATTCCGAGGCACTCAAACTGCGTAGCTTAGCCGAGGCAAAACATTGTCCTGATTGGCCTTTGTGGGAGAAAGCAATTGAGGAAGAGTTGAAGATGTTGAAAGAGATGGGCACTTGGGAAGTTGTTGAGAAGCCAGATGGAGTTAACGTCATAGGTTCCAAATGAGTTTTCAAGGCGAAGAAGGACGCGGCCGGGAATGTTGTACGCTACAAGGCACGTCTCGTTGCTCAAGGATTTTCTCAAGTTCCGGGAGTCAACTATTTTGATACCTATGCGCCAGTTGCATGCATGGCTTCTATCCGCGCCATTCTTGCAATGGCAGCTCACTTTGATATGGAGATACATCAGATTGACATTAAAGGTGCATATCTAAACGGAAAACTCACGGAAAACTCACGGAAGATTAACGAATCTACATGTCCCAGCCTCCTGGCTTCCCAGAACCCAGCACTACATCTCACCATGTCCTACATCTCCTCAAAACTCTCTATGGCTTGAAGCAAAGCGGTCGTCATTGGTACCAGCGGTTAGTTGAGATTTTGGTTGGGAAATTGGGTTTCAAGCAGTGTGAAGTTGATCAAGCGGTGTTCTACAAGAAGGATGGGGGAAAATACATTGTCATTGCTGTACATGTCGACGACTGTACAATTGTGGTGTCGTCGACGACGGATGTTGAGAAGCTGAAGAGCGGAATACGAAATCATGTGGAAGTCACGGATTTAGGCAACTTACACTGGATTCTCGGTATTGAGGTCCGCAGGGACCGCGGAAACCGGACTTTAGTGCTCTCGCAGCGCGCTTATCTGGACTCCATTATTCGCCGCTACGGTTTCAGCGACTTGAAGCCCGTCTCCATCCCTATGGACCCGAACACTCATCTATCTTCCGCTCAATCACCTTCTTCTACTACCGATATTGCCGCCATGCAAGATGCTCCCTACCATGAAGCAATTGGTTCACTCATGTGGGCCATGCTTGGATCTCGACCTGACATTGCTTTCGCCGTTACTGCTCTTTCTCGCTACACCAAAAATCCAGGGAAGGAACACTGGGAGGCCGTGAAGAGGGTATTCCGGTATTTGAAGGGTACAAAGGAGTTGTGGTTGACTTATGGCGGAGTGGACAAGGACTTGGTTGGGTATGCAGATGCAGATGGTAATATGGCAGAGGACAGACACGCTGTCACTGGGTATGCATTCATTCTTAATGGTGGCGCCGTTTCGTGGGCTTCTAAACATCAGGAAATCATTACCCTGTCAACTACAGAATCTGAATATGTCGCCGCAACCCACGCTGCCAAGGAAGGTCTTTGGCTTTGAAGCCTTCTTACCCAAGTTTTTTACCCTCTCCATGACCCGACGACTCTATTTTCCGATAATCAATCTGCCATCGCTCTCACTAAAGATCACCAATATCATGCCCGCA